GACCACCTCCTCCGCGGAAACCTCTCCCACCAGCACGTCCGCCGTCTCTTCCACCCCTAAAGCTACCACCGCCTCTCGGAGGTCGCATGGTCTCTGCTTGAATGGTTTTTAGGGTTTATCAGATTACAGAAGATGCAGGGGTAGGGTTTAGTGAAAGTGTTTTTGAGAGATTAAATTACCAGAATCTCCCTCAACTTTCTCGTAATTCACAGTCTAAGATGGCCTGTAGGCCTAGCCAACTTTCTCTTCAGGCCGTTAGTTAGGCCCGTAGGCCTTCAGTTCAAAAAAGACGGCCCATAGGCCTTTATTTTCTTCTAAAATTATTCATTAATTTTTAAAATTATATCAATTTCATCTATCTAATACAATTTTATTAGTTAGATTGGCAAAAGTCCATATCATTGCTTACTTGATGTTGCATAAGCTACCGCATAAGCAATATGTGGCTTAAGAATAGAGGAAAAATTCCCGCTTCTTTGTTTTCTTAATTTATTTAATAATAAATAATTAAATAATTTAATTAAAACAAAACTCGATTAAAATAACAAAAATAAAAATTTTCAAGCCACATGTTACGTGGTAATTTAGGCAGTGCCACATAAGTGTTGATGTGGGCTTATGTTAATCTCAATAACAGAATTGTGTTGGGTAGGTAAAATTTGAAAATTTTAAATGTTAATATATGATTTTAAAAGAAAATAAAAATTTAAAACTAAAAAAATCAATAATTAATAGATAATTTATTAAATTAAGCAAAGAAAAATTGTCCCAAGCTTAAGGCCATGCTTCGCTTGGGAACGATTTTGTGGGAAAGTTGAGAAAATTTTGCTGTACGGCTAGATCTTGTTTAATTTGGCAATTAGAGTACAGTTAATGGTTAATATTTAATATTTAATATTTGATATTTCTTAAAAAAATTTTCCTTTAAAAGTGAAAATGATTATTCTTTTATTTTTAGTGATTATTGAAATGAAACCCTATAATATTTCTTGAAATTAATCTCCTTTCACATACTTTTAAATTAAATAAAATTAACCCTTATATTTTAGTTGAAATAAATTAATCAAAATTTAACAAATAATGTAATCATAAGTCATTATTTTCAATTTCTCCTTCAAAACCCATTAAGGTCTTGTAAATTTAGCAATTTTAGGCCTACTTTTTTAAAGATATGACTTTTTTTTTTAGGATAACAAGCTAGTTAACAAGAAAGTGTTCACCAAGCTCGTTTGACAACCTCAAAAGAAAATGCCATTTATAAAAAAATGTAAGTCCAAAATTATTAAATCGACAAGAGTTTATTGGGTATTGAATTAGGGGAAAGATGGAATGATGATGACACATGCTTATGCCTTTCATTAAATTTTGGCTAATTTATTTTAAATCAAAATGTAAGAAAGTTGATTTTATTCAACTTAAAAGTATTAAAAGAGGTTTATTTCAAGAAAAAGTATAAAAATTTATTCTAATAATTATTAAAAGTAGAGAAGTAAATATATTATTTCAGGCCTCTTTATAATATAATCTTATAGGCCAAAGGGTCTATTTGCACCCTCCACTTAATTGTTTTTCACGGTCAACACCTTCCAAAATTTTTCCTCC